TTGTTTTGGATGTTTCCAGTTTTCACGTTCGAGCTTTTGTCTGAACAATTGTCATTTCTGATATTTAAATTTAAGCAGCTCCAACCTCTGCTGAGTTTTAAAACATTTGATAAAGCAATTCATCAGCAAACCAAGAATATCTGAGCGACTTTGCTAACACTAGTTTACAAAACTCTTTGATCGAAATGCTTTCAGATTAAATAATCCAAATGTTTATGTGGGCACAAAATTAATGAATCCCATTATGATGAGCATTTACATGCACCAGGCTTTCATTCAGTCAAGTACTGACATGCACAGAGTTGTAAACTTAAAAAAAACAACAGAAGGAGAAGTTTTACTTCCGTGATGAACATAAACCCCCGTTTTGTGTTCTTCCTTCAGCTTCTCGTGTACTTTACATAACTCCATGTTCTTATACTTTCGACCATCAAGGTGTTCAATAATCTTGAGCTCTTTCAAAATTTCTAACAGAAAAGTTGTTTTGCTAACAACCCAACATATTAGCATCTAGCCCAGTGGAAATACGTCAGGTTGTGCAGTCAGGTCAGTTTTCCACAACCAGATTAACATGATCAGAATAAGTGCTTAAATGCATGCTATTTGAATTATCAATCGCGCCACACACACACAATTTGGACTATAAATGCCTTCCAATTGAACTGAATTAGATCAGAATATTCTGATTGGGGCATTTATTCTGATAACTAATGTCCATGCAAACATAGCTGATTAAATTTAAACTTTACATATATTTGATATTAACTTGAGGAAAGAAATGTTTCATCAATTTTCAAAGTCAATAGGATTAAGGAGTCAAASATTTACATGCTGTCAGTATCCAGCACATTTTTCCCCTCTTTGATGAGATCATTGTTGATTCTCACCGTCCTCTGTTAAGTCCGTGAAAGCCAGACATTTTAATCTGCTCAATATTTTAAAAATAGAAACGGTGGGCCTGGCACTATAATCAAGTCCAGATTGAATTTGTTCATTATGATCCTAATTCCATTTTCATTTGGCTGAAATTCATTTTCCTTATTTTCATTTGTTTTATCCCAGAACCTTGTCACGAAACTGTTTGGACCAGTTCTCGGTTGCAGACTTCTTCATGAGATTGATGTGATCRGATTCTCAAAACGGTTAACTTATACGTGTCCTTTGTTAGGCGTATAAATAGTCCCGGAGCTATACTCCAGCCTGATGRGTAAAGAAATCTCACATTGCAGACAGAAGAAAAGGTTATATTTAGAACGGAGGAAGAAGGAGCAGCAGCTGCGATGGAAGATATCTGAAAATGGAAAGTGCTCCCAGGGGTGACAGAACTTAAATTATTTATTTCCCCCTTTAATATAGCACCAACGACAGCATTGTGGGGGCAAAGATCACGCCATGTGAGGACCGCTGACGTCGCTGTGGCTCACGGTGCTAATGAATGTGTCCAATCCAGTGAGGTTTGGGCCTTGGTCAGATCTGTGGTTCATCAAGACAGCTTATTTCAACTCAGGTGAACATGTGATTTATAGTCTTTCTCACTTCCCATTTAGAAGCTGATCTGGGAATTCATTGATAATATACTGTATATTTAGTTTATATATTTATCCCCTGCTGCCCATTTCTGCTTGTATTTCGGTACGTTAACAAAATATCTCATAGCTGGATGATTTTTTTTTTTTTGGAAACTTACAGACAGTATGTGACCCACATCGAACTGAGGATTAAATCACAAAGTGGTAGAGAAATATGCAACTACAATTAATTGTTTAAAACATTTAAAACATTTTCATTTTGTAAAAATATAATGATAGTTCGTTTAAATGAAATATCTGGAATATGACCGACTTAAAGAGTTTTTTAAGCCTTTTTTGAGTAATAGCTAAAAACATTTTAATTTTTTTGTCATTTTCACTGCAGCTTTTAAATCTTTTTTTATTTCCATCTRGTAAATCTTAATATCCAAATATTGTTTGAGATTTCCTCTTCAAAATGACATCAAAAATTCCTCGTTAGGATAACCTAAAAATAGGATTCATGAGCTGGTTCATACATGTCAAGAGGTAGACAAAACTCTCAGCATCAACACAGCTTGAAAAATCCCACAATCACATGAGATTGCACATAATGTCAGTTACCAAAACTAAATTTCTTTTTATTATAAGATGWTTTTTTTGTTTATAACTCTAACATGAAAAGCATCAGGTGATAAGCATTCCTTCAACAAATGCTTTAATCTTGACTATGTTTCATGCAATTATTATTACAAAAAGAAATCTAATTCAAATTTATTGAAATTAAATATCTATTTTGCCAAAAAAGTAGTTTCTTTATGCATCTTTTGACTTTATGATAATGTACTACTATCACAG